TACAGGAGGCCTTTGTTCACCCCCCGGAGCTGTGTGAGACACTTTTTTTGTGGAAGGGTGCTTTTTATTTCACGTCTTTTGAACCGAAGTAATGCAACACCCGCTGAGTACAACGATAGAGCTTGAAAGATCAAAGGCCATTTTTAATATAACTCCGACTGGATTCGTCTGAAAGAAGAAAGTCATATACACCTAGGATGCATCGGGGGTGAGTGAAACGCAGCCTAATTTTCATTTTGAGATGAACTAACCCTTTAAGATGGGCTTCTTTGACTTGGGACAATAAACAGCCACCTAGAAAACAAAATACAACTATTTACCAATAGGCCTATCTTAAAAACTACACAGATCACTTTAGCAACTGCACAGCCCTGGCAACCACCAGTACCAACTACATTTCCTTGAAAATGTAAGTGTCAAGTTCTCAGTGCAGCACAATTCCATCAAACCCATAATCAGATGTATCAGCATTTACACATGTTTGAAAATGGCATTGTAATTGCTTCATGTTGATATTTTACAAGCTTTGATTACTAGGTGGATTAGGTATTCACCCAAACTATCAGTCAAATGACTCTAGTCCTATGTAACGGAACTTTCTGCATTGTTGTGCTGTTTTCTGCACAGTCATGTTGTGGTTTCCACATGCTTGAACGTGCAGCAGCAAAACGGTTATGTGCAGGGCAGCGTGATGCTTTGAAAGCACTACACAGATGAGGCGGCATTTAAATGTAAACATGCATATGCATCATTGCTCTGCGGTGTCGAGCTGCTCACTGGGTGAATGCAAAATCCACATTGATAAAGCACACAAATGCCACACAAAACACAAATATCTATTGCATTCTGAGTAGAAAATTCTTACTGTCACTGTTAGGGTCCTTTTACTTAGCAATAATCTATGACCAGGCTGAACAATCAGATAATTTTAAGAACCCGTAGCAACACCTATAACACCCTACCATCACAGTGGCAAGTTTTGCATGGGCAGTATATAAATCTACAGCATATATAGGGCTGGGCGATAATTCGATAACGATAATTATCGCGATGTAATTTTCATTTGAATCGCGCCACTCGGACCGTTTATCCGCTCGGATCAAAGTTCAAACTGGCGCGCGGCACAAGCTCACTAGAGCAGACGCGTTTACTCGGTCACGAGACACTAAACAGCGCTGTGAGATCCAGTGTGAAGCACTTGAATTCAGCGATGAACACAACTGACTCTGTGATTTAAACTAGTTTAGAGCCAAACAGGAGAAACACCGTGTGCAACGAGACAGTCAGAAGGCTTTTCAATCTACACATCGCCATCATTTACCATGGATTTTCTGTAGTAACACACACTGCACCATGGTATTGTGGGATATTCACATTGAATTTTATTACAGGAGTAGTGGTATATAATTATAGTATGTATTTGTGATTAAGCTATAGCATGTTTGCATTTACAGTGTTTTTAGACTACTGTTTTTCATACAAATAGGCTACCTAAAAACCATATAGTTCTATTTTTACCATGGTATTGAGGTTCTATATGTGGTTTTCAGTACCGTTGCTCCCTATACGCAGAGTACGCAGTTTGCTTAGGGCACCAACTCCCAGTTGCTCAAAAAAAAAAAATTTGTTCTATATTAATATTAACATATACATATACGTAAATAAAAATGTAAACATGAACATATATACATAATTATAAAAAATGCGTTTTACGGAGAACCCAGGCGAAAGAAGCACACGTGACGCGCCATTCCCGCATCCGCGCCCGCCTCATGTTTGCGGCTGACTGCAAATGATCATAACTGATGGACAACTACGCCCGGGAAAAGACATCAGTAATCCGGCGCCGAGATAAGAAAAAGAAAAAAAGCCCAAGATGAAGCCCGTGCATCACTTAGGTACGTTCTTAATTATGTTCATTAATCACGTTCATTAATGTCGGTAATAATATCACCCCCGCATCTGCCTTAATATTCTCTCAAGAGTTTCCATGTTCCCTTACGAAAATTAACCATAATTTTACTACGAAGCAGCAATGGTACTTGTAGCAGTGGTAACCACAAATTAACCATGGTTTTGATACCGCTTCAAATAATAATTTACGAAGTATTCAGATAATATTTTTGTGGTAATAAAAACAGACCTAAGCGAACAACAACCTTTAAAATAATGATTGGTTAATTCATAATAATCGTATGGTTTCATTGAACAACACTGTTAAAATACATAGTGTAATACAAAATAAACAATTCATGTACATTACATATTATTACAAATGTCTGCAAAGGGCGCCAAAGGCCTGGTAATTGCGGTTGTAACACTTACAGGATGATCAAATCCTTGTTTAATATTGATCAAACATTTAATTCAAATATCCACTTAATCGTTCATGTTTGGCCACCTTTTTGCGATAGAAATGCGAGCCTCTATAATTTCTTCAACAAAAACATGTGGACATGTGGACAACCTTTACAAAAACTAATCCTTGGTTTTATCAAAGTAAAACGGCTTAATTTTCTTTTGTGTGATTTCTGAATGCTTGAGACTATAAAATCAATCAGACAACTGTATTATTAAAATCATAGCCATAGATACAATTGTAATTTGTAAATAATACAATTTAATTACAATTTAGTTATGTACTTTTATATTTTATTAAAGTTCTGTTTTGACCCCTAAAGTAGGTGTTTTTTTTTAAACTTCCATAATATTTTGGGGAGGGGGCACAACAATACAATTCTGCTTAGGGCACCCATTTGGCCAGCAGCGGCCTTGGTGGTTTTAACTGTGTTTATCATGATTTAAATGTATGCTACTATGGGAGACCAATGCTTAATTAAAACTAAAAAAAAAACTTGGTCAGAATAAATTTAACCATATAAAACTGAGATTTCTACAATTTTTACAGATGTTACTGATTTTGATAATGAACAAAAATGTACCTCCGCATCCTAACTCAAGCTACTATCAAATGTGCATTTCTAAGAGACAAAAAAAGTGATATTATTATTATTAATATGATCAAGGAACACAAACCGGTTTCCGTACCCACTGTATATGCATTACATCTGCATTATATGGTTATCAGCCGCCTCGTTTCTAGATTTCTAGATTTCAGTGGACCTCTACTAGCAGAAAAACGCAGTTCTTCCCATTACATGTGAACTCTCATCCGCACATGTGGTCTTAAGACACAGTCACCCTCCCGGACTCCTCTCTATTGTCATTCTCTTCCATCCCTCAGTTGGCCTGCCATAAATCCCCAAGCTCTTCGTCTGTCAGCCTGACCTCTGATTCTCCCGTCTTTCATCCTCCTTTCTCTCTCTGCTCGTCACTGTCCTCTCTTCCTTCTCTCAATCTCTATCATCGATAGACTAAAAAGCACTGACCTGGAAGAGGTGATCCAGTCTGAGGCTGACACAGCAGTGGGGGGCCTAAAGAAACAGGCTGGCTTTAATAGTTTTAGGGTAGTTTAGGGGGATGGGGTCATCGATTCAGAGAATGAGGTTTATGAAGTACAACAAACCACAGTTTTGCTGTACTTCAGGTTTCATACTAAAGCACAGTGATCATGTTCCTAAACATCTGCTACTCAACAGGACCCAACGGTGCAGGATAAATATAAATATATTAGGGCTGGGTATCGATTCAGATGTCCCGATTCGATTCGATTCCGATTCGCAAGCTCTTATGACCCTCAGAGCAGCTGGAGATGACATTCGTGTTCATATTATCATATAGTGAGACGGCAGAAGCTGAAAACACCGCGAGCGTCATCCGCGCTTTAGTATGTGTGTAGCAGTAATGCACAGAAAAAGAGAAAAGTAACTCACTGCTCTTGGTCTAGATTAGAAGCTCTAAAGAGAAGCTTAAAGCACTCTCTGATACTGAAAGCACTTTTTGTTTGTTGCTTGTAATGCGTTTGTCCTCCTTCATTTGCTTGTATGTAGCGCTGGGTATCGATTCGATTCTCGATTTTTTTATTATATTCAGTGAATATAGTTTTAATACAAATGCTATTAATATTTCTAAAAAATGAACAGTAAACATCAGTTTACAAATGGCCAATTAATAAAAAGAAATTAAGAACCACATGCCTGCATTTTAAACGTATTATTTTTTTGTATAGGATCCTTTTTTAAACAATAACAGGGCCCTATAAAATGTTCTTAATTTTTCTGGTAATCAGAAATGACAGGCTTTCTGTTGTAAAAATAAATAAAGGTAAGGTAAATAAGGGTGACATCTAGTGGAGAAGACTAATGATAAGATTCACGTTAATCAGATCTTGTTTTAAATGCGTGCTGAAATAAATACCGGAAAAGATCGATTTGCGGCTTTTGTGAATCGATATCAAATCGACGTCATTTAAAAAAACGATTAATCGAAAAATCGATTTTTTTTTGCCCAGCCCTAAAATAATATACTAATATAGCACTTGTAAATTATTGCTCTTTTGTTGGTTTTGATTGCTTCTATTGTCCTCACGGAAAAGATCGATTTGCGGCTTTTGTGAATCGATATCAAATCGACGTCATTTAAAAAAACGATTAATCGAAAAATCGATTTTTTTTTGCCCAGCCCTAATATATATATATACATACATACACACACACACACACACACACACACATATATATATATATATATATATTAAACGTCGTTAATTTTTAAAAACGCAAATTTTTCCCACATAACAAAGGCCGCAGGGACAACGCAACATGTAGATCACATTAGCAGTTTTATGCGAAATAGTGCCTCTAATTTAAAAAAATGTTGCAGTATGGGGATGTTTGAAAATTGTATTTTTTTATAGGCAAAATTACATTGTTGACAGTTACCGCATCTATAATTGCCAAAAGGCACCTTATTTAAAAAATGAGAAGGAGGGGTTAAATCCGCTCAAACCAGAATATTGCGAAGATTAGGTGCTCTCTTATAAACCACATGCGGTGGTTTTTCAAAACATTTTTTAAGATTAGGGGCTTCGTTTTTTTTTTGTGTTGTGACATATTAATGAACCAACTCACGGCAGACTGAATCCATTCTTCCTTATATACTCTTGCTCTATACCTATCTGATAAAAGAGCTGCTAATAGAGCTACTGGCTCACTCACAGAGACGATCTCAGCCTTTGTCAATTTCTTCCTTCAACCTTTGGTCTCATCATTGCCTTCTCATATCAGAGACACTATGGATTTTATCGAACTCATCAGTTTAAAATTCCGTGACATTTCCGAACACTTCGGGGGGGTTAGTGGCCATGGATGTTGAATCTCTGTATACGTTTCATTCCAAGGTGGGCTAGAAGCCATTTAATTGTTTTCTTGACCAACATTCCGATAATGTTTTTAGTACTGTATGTCTGTTGGAATTGACTAAATTGGTACTGCCATACAATTATTTTGTATTTGCATCAGATTTTTATCTACAGATCTCTGGTGTTAACATGGGTTCGAAAAATGGCCCCTAGTTTTGCATCTTTGTTTTGTGGTATGTTTGAACAACAATTTATACACCATCCAGATTGTATCCCTTTTTTTTAAACATATTGTGCTATGGAATCGATATATTGATGATGTGTTTTTGTTATGGAATGGTACTGAATCTCAGTTGTTAAGAGTCTCATAGACTGGTTAATGATAATAGCAGGTAGGGGTGCGACGAAAAATCAATGTGTGGATCGATTCTGCGATTTTCACAGAGTAGAATAAAACAAGCACAATTGTTTGGCGCTTTGACTAAACTTGAGCGAGGCATTACTTCAGTGTATGTCTCTCAGAAAACAATCATTTCAAAACTGTCAAGGGCTAAGAAAAAGGCTACCTTGGTTCCAAATGCTGTAACTGTTGATTACTTCATGATATCACCACATAATTTGATTCACACACAGCATACATGTTGGGGAACATCACCAAAAAAAAAAATTCCTCCTACCTTATTTATTTCCTGAGATATTGAATGTCAAATAAGAATGACATGAAAAATTTCCCTGGAGCACACAAATTCTTCTTACATTAATCACCTATTTCTCAGCATGAGAATGCCTAAATGTAAAGATTTTTTCCCCCTTAAAAAACTACGTTTTTGCATCGCTTTCCTTCTGATCCCAACATTAGGAAAGAGTGGATGAAGTTTATTTTTACTGAAGTTCCAGATCGCGTCAGTAAGAACGCTGTCATTTGTTCACTTTATCCGCATTTTATCACGGATTCGTTTACAAAGAAAGATTGAAACTAAAAGACGATGCTGTGCGAATATATTGATTCAGACAGTAATGTCACACCACAAGTGTGAGTAATTGTTTTTATTATGTGGTCACTATTGCCTTGTCTGTTATTACAGATCGTTTGTGTTGTACTGAGTATTTAAGCATTTTTGACCTAAATCACAGCAGCGTCCATCTATGAAGGATGTAGGCTGTCAAACATGCACAACTGTTAGCCAATCATAGCAGTGATCGTTTACTTCTGAGTCGATAATCCGCCACGGCTATTCAAACAAGAGCGTTCTGATGAGGGGGTTAAAAACAGGACAGAAATAGCCTATTACTTCTCAATTACAATGTTTTTTTATGTAAAAATCTTGATAACATTATAAGTGGACCTCAGTGAACAGTACAAAATAATTAAAAAAAAGCCGTTCATGACACCTTTAAAATTAAAATAAGTGATCATTAAACACTAAACAGTTTTATATTGTGAGCATAATGAGCATTTGAGATCTGGTCAGAGGGAAAATAAAAAAGGGCTTGGTCTTAAAATGTAATACCTGTCAGGTCAGGCCACTTTTACAGGGCGGGTTTGGGCTTCAAACTTCAAATGCCTGTCCAGACCTGCAGTCCTGCTCAAGGCTGGACTCCAGACTGCAACAGCCCTCACTCTT